CTTGTAGCAGAGGGAGGCGACGGGTAGGATGAAGGGATTAACGCCTGATGGGAAAACAAGTGCAAGTGAGGTAAGATTTTTCGTACGCGGATATTCATTGGTCTGCCGGCCCGTGATGTTATGCTTTATAATACACAACGCTTGAAATTCGTCCACCTAACAAATTTATGGAACTACTTATAAAAAAAGCGTTCAATGACTATAGGCACTGGGGGGTTTCTACTGCGCTAAATTATAATATCTGACCGCCTTTCGCTTTCCTAACCCGGATAGCCCATTTAGTGCTGGCTATCAGAATGGCGATCGACATCACTTCCATATTTGACATCCGTACTGTTCGTTAATTGGCCGACAAGTACAGCCACACCTTCAAACTGCTGATTGATATGGGCAGTTTAAGCTTTGACAAAGGAGAGCTGATCCAGCTCTCCGAAACTTCATAGAAGAAAATAAACTCGTTCCGGTGAGCACTAACATATCTCTAATTCTATATTGCTTTTAGTATCGTTTAAATTGTTTCATTTATCGTTATTGGTTTACTTATCGCTTTTATTATTCTGTTATTTTCGAAACATTGTTTTTACACTGGCACAAACCTGCATCATACGATGCATTAGAAGAGGTAGTTGGGCGGTTTAGTCATATACACAATTGTGTGCTCTTGGTTTTTGATCGGTGTTTTGGTTGCGTTTCATGCATTTGTAATATTGGCTGTTCTCGCCATTCTGTCGGTTAGTCAAATCCGCTGCGACTCTGACGACAGAAATCTGGTGCCACTTTGCGAGTAACTTTATAGAAAGAGATTGTATGAAGCAGTCCGCAGTGCCATAGATAACATCGCGAGGAAACATCAAGTCATCCAAGAAAGACAGCGTAAGTGGTTTGGGCATATTGTCCACTGCCCGCCCACGAATTTAGTGTTGTTTTCCTTGATCCAATGCCGCTGCCCAAGAGGATGCGTCAAAAATTGACTTAATACAGTTAGTCAAGGCAGTAAGGTGGTTCTGGGCTCCCCAGTCTTTGGCCTCCGTTGCTATAGAAGAGTGGATCGACTTCTAGATACGATGTCATAGGTCGTCACGCGTGTAGAGGTGCAATTCAAGACATCAGTGAGGACGGCTGGATCAGACATGAATAAAGGCACACCAAGCAAAAGGAAGTAAATGTCAGAGGCATCAGACTATAAATATATGAGTGGCTTTGAACGCACAGTTCCAGAAAGCTGAGAATATAGTAGTGCTCGCCAAAACGGGTTTTCATTTTTAATGACGGTTCAGAAAGCTGGACTGACTCTTCTTTGTCAAAGCGTCGATTTTTCCGCCGTTAGTTTTGCGCTTCGTCCCCACGGTAGAGGATGCTGGTAATCCTGCTCCCTTGTCCTGTGGGTCCGTGGCGGGGCCACCTACACTCAAATTTCTCAAGCCCTGTCTCACTTGGTCCTGGCCTTTATTCACGTAATGGCGCAGGACTTTGTAGGCCGTCAGAAAGTTTAGATACCTGTTGGCGAAGTTGGCATTCGGATACAATGCTTCAAGCGCCGGTCGTTTCGCATTTT